ACTATATAGTTTAATCTATTGGTTGAATTATTTTATTTTTTGATATCTTTCTGTTTAAATTTAGTTAGCATATATTCATTTTAGGCATATATATCTCGAAATTATTCCGAGATAATTTAAATAGTCAGATAAAAAGTTTAATTTGGATTGTACACATTTAAAAATTATTGGGTTTAAGTATTTAGATATAAATACTTTAATAGAGAAGCCTTTTATTATTTCTTTAAAAATTCAACCGACGTTTTTAATAGTTGTTATTTTGTGTTATACGTAAAACAAAATTATTTTTTTCTCCTTTTATTTTAAAATTAGAAATATGAGTTTTATTTTATAGTTAAAATTTTCATAAGAGAATAATATATATAGTTTATCTATTGGTTGAATTATTTATTTTTTGATATCTTTCTTTTTAAATTTAGTTAGCATATATTCATTTTAGGCATATATATCTCGAAATTATTCCGAGATAATTTAAATAGTTAGATAAAAAGTTTAATTTGGATTATACACATTTAAATTGACCAAAAAATTACTAGTATAAACTATGAATTTCATCTAATACTATTTATTAAAATTAAAATTACATTTTTTAACGCTATATTGCTGTTCGATAACTTGATGTAACAAATGAGAATTACTAATATTTTAATTTGACATTTTAACTACTTAGTACCGAAATTAGTCGAATCAAATAAAAAACAAAGATGAGTTCAGCAGGTTATTTTTAAATTTTTTAATTATATACATTAAATTAAGCAAAATTAGTAATGTGTTTTTTTAAAATAACAGGCTGACGCATAAATATGAAGAAGATTTAGAAATATAAAATGATGAAAAATAGTCATTGTCATATGTATATTAGGTAAAGAGAAGACGAAATAAGAACAGAAAATTTTGTGGACAACAGGTAATGTGAATTTTAAAAGAATTCCGAGCAGAAAGATAATATATGCCTCAAATTCTAACTAAATTTAGGCCTAAAAAATTTATATGCTAACTAAATTTAAAAAGAAAGATATCAAAAGATAAAATAATTCAACCAATAGATTAAAATATATATATATANCTCTTATGAAAATTTTAACTATAAAATAAAACTCATAATTCTAATTTGAAAATAAAAGGAGAAAAAAATAATTTTGTTTTACGTATGACACAAAATAACAACTATTAAAATAGTCGGTTGATTTTTTAAAGAAATAATAAAAGGCTTCTCTATTAAAGTATTTATATCTAAATACTTAAACCAAATAATGAAAGAAATGAAAAATGAAAAATGAAAAAGAAATAGGAAAATAAAGGAATGCTGGTGTAGGGATTCGAACCCAGAAACTCAAGGCCAAAACTACGCGATGTTATACCGCGCTATACTTTAACGGCCAAAACACTGTTAAAGTATAGCGCGGTATAAAACCGCGTTATATATAGAAATGTAACTTTTTTTTTTAGCATTAAAAATATAATTTGAGTCAAAATCAACAACATTTAGGTTTCGGACTCTACTTTAGCATAACTACTGTGACCAGTGGCGAAGCCAGAAATATTTCCAAGGGTGTTCAAACTTGAAAGAACTAAAAAAAAAATTTCCGACAAAGGGTGTTCAATATATATTTTATACATCTAAAATCAGTATTTTACTTATATAGGCAGTATAATTTTTCGTTATATTTCGGTAAAGGGTGGTCAGTTGACCACCCATTGTAAAAGTTGGCTTCGCCCCTGACTGTGACTCGTGTGTATGAGCGATATGGTGCATAGCTTGCCACCTCAGAATTAATCAATGTTTATAAATATTTTATTGACGGATGAAAGCAACACTTCTTCGTATACATGTCAAAGTAAGCGTAGATAGAAATCACCATACTATGTTATAATATTATATTATAATTAAGAAGACACTAAGTTATAAAGTTAATTTACTAAAATGTCCATAAAAAGTTGAATGATATTTTTACTCCTCATCAAATATGAAAATTTATCTTCCAATAAGTGATAACTAAATCAATTAAATGGGAAGTGGTATGAAGTTCCATGTATCTATCTGCCAAGCATTTAGTATATTCTATTTATTTATTTATGCACAATAAAGTTGGCTAATTAATTTGAATCGTATTAAATGGTAAATGATGGCTATAAAACGTGAGAATTGGAATGAATTTCTTATTACCACCTGAGTGTTTCAACTCCTACCAAGATAAATGCACAATGAAGTTGCTTCATTAATTTGGATCCCGCTAAATGGTGCTTTCTCCGGTCCATTTTAATTAAATATTTTTGGTTGTTTTTGCATATATTAAGTAATCCACGTTTTAGCATTAATTATAATAAAATTGATCCTATTAATCTTAATTTAATTATTAAGAATATAACAAATACTCCTTGGCTCATTACTCTAAGGGAAACTTTAAAAAAAGAAGTCAATTCCTTCTCGGTATTTACAAAAATCAAATGTATTGCGATTTAATATAAAAGGGTCTATCATAGATCATATTTCCTTTTGTTATAAAGATTTAGAGTTATGTTCTGATTTAGGAGACTTGCTGATAATTGTACTAATTGAAATTAGTTATAACTTTTTAATCACAGATACACTCTAACTTTTAGTAAGATCTTTTACATATTTCATCTATTTATATTAAGTCCTTTGTTCGTGAATAGGAAACATAGCAAATGAGTTATTCGTAACAGTAACGTTTTATTATTTTGTACAGGTTAAATTATATATATTTTTTTATTAAGTCTTAGTTTTGTGTTATAATCATTTTTAACCGGTTACTTAAATAGCTACAACACAAAATCGATAACAATTCTACACATTTACAATTACTTTTTAAAAGAAAATTATTAAGATAGTCGTACATATTAAAATTTGAAGTTGTTCGCTTTACCAATAGAACCACAATAATTGATGGTATCTTTGTACCATTTTAGATTGCAGAAATTAGATAAGAAAAAATATATTTATACTACTTGTATGGAACTCACGAGTAACGCACGTGTCCAAAAATTATACTCTTTCGGGTTCAATTTATGTGAATTTATTTCTTGTTTAGTGATGAGCTTAAAATTACTCAACTTTTATGCCCGCTTTGTGTCCTTGATTTGATAGAGATTTAGCCCCATTTTGGTCTAATATGCTACCTTTCAGTGCAGGTGGTGCAGAGTGGATCAATGGACAGATAGTGCATTAAGTGGGAGGAAAACAAACTGAGCAAGAAGAAATTCTAGTGTGCGGCCACGCACGAGCAACCACAAATGCGCAAGTATCACAGAAACACTGCCAGATGTGCGCAGCCATATGCGCGGTCATGCTCCCAGATGCGCGGCCGCGCACTTCCGTCTCATGGATTCTAGTCAAGCCTATTTTTGTAAATATGGAATCCAATTGACCTATATGAAGCCTAGTTAGTCCCAAAATATGGTATCTAGGATTTGGAGCAACTTTTGGAGAAAAGAAGCCAAGAAAATAACATAGACTTTGAATACTTCATCCGAATCATTCAATATGAAAGTTTGTTGAATTCGTGGGTTGTAATATTTTCTTGTCCTCTTAATATTCTTTTGATGAACAATTTCTCCACTATGGAGTAGTCCTTCTTTGGGTTATTAACAGATATTGTGAATTGATTACTCCCTCCATTTCAAATTAAATGGTAGTTTGACTCGGCACGGAGTTTAAGAAATAAAGAAAACTTTTAAAACTTTGTCTTAAAAGCTTAAGGGGTAAAGGCTTTGTAGGATCATGACATTTGTGTGGTTATAAAAACTTCTCATTAAGGGTAAAATAGGTAAAATGAAGAGTATAAAGGTGAATTATTTCCAAATTTAGAAATATGTCATTTATTTTGGAACAGACTAAAAAGAAAAGTACCTCATCTACTTTAAAACAGATGGAGTATTATTCAAGGGTTTGCTTTCTGTTAGTTGCTTGCATCGTTGAACGAGTTTTGAATTAAATCACAAAGTTAATTGGGGTTTCACTTTAATTGAAAGAGAAGTGTTGTTACATTTATCATTGTGTTATCATGTTGGGTTAATTTTACGACTCTTATAGGCAATCGAAAGAGTTTTGAGATATTTTTTACGCTCTTCTTATCTGTGTGCAGGCAACAAGTTAAGTTTAGTGGTGTATCACTCGATCCTCCTCAAAGGAATTTGTGCCATACAATCCGGAATTAGACAAGCACCTACGGCGATTGAGAAGGGAAAAAGAATTCAGTGGATCCTTTTTGGGTCAGACTTCGACTTAGAATACAATGATGAACAACGAAAAGGAAGTAAGCTTAGCTACAAGAGAGGCAACTCAACAACAGGCTGCACGATTAGAAGCTGAAGCAACCCTTAGAGTTGCTGAGGAAACGGTGGAAGAGGGTCGAAGATCCAATCTTAACCGACCCCTGGTTGAAGATGAGTTTGAAAATACAGCCTCCGAGCCTGGGAGATCTCTAGGAGATTACGCCAGACCGGTCTACAACCTGCGGCAATCCAGTGTGAGGCCCCCATCTATTGATGCTAATAATTTTGAACTCAAGCAGGGAGTCATCCAAATCATTCAAAAGAACTGCATTTTCAGAGGTAAACCCAACGAATATCCCAACAACCATCTGATGGATTTTGATGAAATCATGAACACATTCCGCTATAATGGAGCATCACATGATGCCATCTATCTCAGAGCATTCCCTTTCTCACTTAAGGGTGATGCAAAGTAGTAGTTAAGGAGGTTACCCACAGGGTCAATCCGTACGTGGGAGGAGATGACTACCAAGTTCTTAGAAAAATATTTCTCTGCTGCTATGACTGGAAGGATGAGGAATGAGATTCACAATTTCAGCCAAGGAGAAGGGGAGACAGTGTTCGAGGCATGGGAAAGGTTTAAAGAGTTGTTGCGGAGGTGCCCTCATAATGGAATGGAGCAATGGACGCAACTCTAGGATTTCTGGGACGAGTCAACTCCTTCATCAAGGAGATTGCTGAATAGTGCGGTTGCATGCTTTCTAATGAAGAAAACTCCAGAAAAGATTGTCACACTCCTACATGAACTATCTGAAGACACAGAACAATGGTCGACTGACCAAGGTGGTCGAAGAAGGTCAGCAGGGGTACACCGAGTAGAATCTTTTGTGGCATTGCAGTCTAAGATTGCAGCTATAGCTCAGGACATCAAGAAATTGACAATAGCCCAGGTGCAAAATCAACCTCAGTTGGGATGTGACATTTGTAAAATAGGACACCCTACTCATGAATGTCAAACCTCCAGTGTAGAGGAAGAAGTGAAGGCATTGGGAAATTTCAACAGAGGCAACTACCAAGGAGGTAACAATTTCAACTCTATGGGACATAGACATCTGGTGTTCTTATGGAGTTCTTCAAGTGGTAGCTTAGACTCTTGGCAGCAGCAAAATCCTAGAGCACTCGTGCAAGGATCTCCTAGTTTCCAAAACCAACAAAGGCAACAATACCCACAACCTCCACAACCCAACAACTCAAGTCTAGAAGATCTAATGAAGGCATTCATAAAAAAATCAAATGAGAAGCTTGAGCCTCATAGAACAACCATCAGAGAACAGGGAATAACCATCCGTGAACAAGGCACAACCATCCAAAATTTAGAAAGACAAATGGGGCAGATTGCATCATTATTATCAGAAAGAGCTCCTAGGACTCTGCCTTCTCACACTAATAAGAATCCAAAAGGGATGATCAAATCTGTGTCTCTAAGGAGTGGAAAAACATTAGCAGATCCTATTGCAAAACTAAGGGTTGAAGGGGTGATCAAATCAGCCAGAACAGCAGAAGAGCAGAAAATTGGTGAATCTTTGGCTACAGAGAACATCATTGAGAAGAAGGGTGATAAGCCGAAGTCAAACAGTGAAGTTGAAGAAAGCAAGCACATGCCAGTGCTACCCTTCCCTCAGAAGATGAAGAGGGAGAAACTAGATATATGCTTTGGGAAATTCTTAGAGATGCTGAAACAGTTGTATGCGAACATCCCATTCATCGAGGTGCTCACCCAGATGCCTGTCTAAGCAAAATTTTTGAAGGAAATCCTCTCAAGTAAAAGGAATCTCGAGGAAACGACAATGGTCAAACTAGGGGTGTTCAAAACCGATCCGAAACCGAAAACCGAACCGAACCGAAGCTTAATGGTTTACTGGTAATGGCTTAACGGCTTAACGGACGGGGAACAGATTGAATTTTTTTTATTAACGGCTTATCGATTTGGGAGCAGATTATTCAATTTTCTTAACGGATAATCCGTTAACCCGTTAAGAATATAAACATATATATAAATTTTTTTATTTATATATATTAAATATAAAAAAACTAAAACCCTTGAAAATGAATAACAAAAACAAACCCGTCTGTTCTGTCTCTAAACTCTAAAGTCTAACCCATTCCTAATTCCTAATTCCAGAACGCCTAAACCAGTAGCAAGCCAACCACCGCCCACCGGCCAACAGTCCTCGTCGTCGTCGGCTTCCACCAACCACCGGTCTCCCTCTCGCCGTCTCGTCTCTCTCTCTCGCGTGTTGCGACTTCTTATCTTCTTATCTAGTTACTCTTACTTATGAATAAGATTTTTTGGTTTTTGCTGGGACTTTAAAGAGGAGTATTTGTCACAAATTTCAACTACAGTAGAGGTTCAATCTGAGGCAACTCAAGTAGTTGAAGAAGTTGTTGTTGATTTCGATAATTTTAGGGTTTTCTTCTTCGTCTTCATTTGTCTGTTCTTATGTTTTGTACAGTACAAATTAATCGTATTTGAAATTTTCCTGTTTGTGAAGTAATTTATGTAATTCATATCAGATACACTATATTAGATATGTTGGATTTAGGAAAGTTTAAAAATTATAAAGTTTAAATCAGTAAGTTTAAAATACAGTTACACTTTTTCTTTGATATAAATGTGTTCCACTTAATACAGATATATAATACATTCTTTAAAATTTTTAAATGAACTGGTGAAATTGTTACCACTTCTTTGAATATGCATCCGTCGGCCGGCGAAATAAAAATACCCCGGGTTCTATTTATTTCAGTAACTGATAACTAGGGATTTTGACGCATTTTATACTCCTTCTTGCTTATGATTTGATTAGAAATTCATACAAAATAGTCCCAAAAAGGCTCACAAGTTGTACTTGATTGCAGGTTTGATCATCAAAGTGACAAGATGTCAAAGATCAGCTCAAAAGGAGTGAAACTTGCACAAGTGCCAAAGACAAGACAAGCTCAGCCAAAACAGGCCCAGTGGGGCCGCACACCACTTTGTGCGGTCCGCACTAGGAGATTCAGAGAGGCTAATTTCCAGGCTAAGAGGCAGTGTGGCCGCACTAGGTTTTGTGCGGTCCGTACTGAAGGCAATGCGGCCGCAGTCGATTTAGTGCGGTCCGCAGAGCCAAGAATCAGAGAAGTTGCAATTTGGAGTTTTCAAACCAATGCGGTCCGCAGTCCATTTTACGCGGACCGCACTAGAAGCCTCCGCGGCCGCAGTCCATTCTCTGCGGTCCGCAATGCCAAGTTTCAGAGAGTTGTTTTTCAAGGCCAAAGCCCTCGTGCGGACCGCGGTCCATTTTGTGCGGTCCGCACTAACCCCTCAGGGGCATTTATGTCCAGATTTTTCAGCCTAGTATAAATAGCTTCTTTTCCCATTTTTAGGGTATCAGATATTGGAATTAAGTAGCTGCACTCGTGGGTTCGACTTTCTAAGCCATTTTGGGCAATTTTAGCTACTTTTAATCATTGAATCTTTGTATTTAACTTAGTGATTAATTAATATGAGCTTTTCTTCATCTATTTCTTGCTTTTCTTCTTTGAATATGAGTAGCTAGACCCATAAGCTAGGGTTGTAGCTCAACCCTAGTGTGGGTAATTGATGAGTCTTGTATTTTAGGGCTAATTTGACTATGGGTGTTTGTTATTTGGGCCAATTTCATGGTTAATTTCTGAATTAGTGGTTGCAAACACTAGTTTGTGTTGAGTTGACTTGAGCTCTTCTTGAGAAAGAGAGCCTAAGTCTCCGAAATTGGTCCAACAATGAATTGGGGCGTACTCAAGAGATTGATAGCCCCAATTAAAGGTTTAAATCTCGAGAGAGTAATACCTGAATTGAACCCTAGTTGCTTGTGCAAATTTGCATACCCAATTGGTCTTGAGAAAGCCAATTCGGGCAAAATCACTCGAACCACCAAGAGGTGTAGAGTGGGTAAAGTTGTGCAACGATTATAACATACTTCCCAAACGTGTCAACGTGCCTTAGATTCAAGTACCTATCAATTGACTACCTAGACAGAAGTCACTACCCTAGTGCCTTTTAAACCTATTTGAACAACTCGTAGCATTATAACTCTTAGCATAATTTAGTTGCAATTACCATTTGTAGTTTGATAATAGTAGAAGTGAACAAAAACCCCAAAAATGAATAGAAGTGTAATTAAGAACACATACGCAATCCTAAACTAGATAGATACTCGACTCCAAATTCTAGCTCTCTGTGGATATCGATCCCGACCCTAAATCGGGTAAAAGCTACTCCGACCCTCTCTCACTACTTAATTAGTAGTACGGGGTAGGCCACGATCAGTAACTGCATTTCTAAAAATGGAGGCTCTATTCTAGTCTTTGATTAACCGCATTTCAAACTAGGAAAAATAATTTTTGTGGTCATATTACTGCTACTGACATCTTTGAATTTTGTCGAATGTCCACAATTATGGCTAGTTGTTTTGGTTATAGTCCCAGTAAAGAATAAGAAAACTAGATACATCCAACAGATTCAAGTTTTGGATTATTACGGTTTAGGCAGAACAATCTTTTGTGCTCTACGGGGAGGACCTTTGGGTGCAAATCTGCATATTGACTTCACCAGCATTGCGTGTGAAACCTGCAAATCCTATTGTTACTGTAAGGTCCTACTTTTTGATGAAATTACATGATTATGTTTGTCTGCTTTAGATGACTTTCTGATGATCAGCAATGTCTTCTTTGCACGCGCTCTTTAATGTTATGTTCGTCATCTAAATGCAGGCCGTGGCACCAATTTTTTCATTGGTTGCACCTAGGTACCAGTTAAAGGTTCCCACAAAAGGGGGAATCCTGTTTCAAGGGATCCTGCAGCACTGGTGGCCAAGTATTCTGATCCTCTAGTCCTCCATGGAACTGCTGATAGAGTCACTGATCCGTTGGCTTCTCAAGATCTGTACAATGATGCACAAGAAGTTAGGTGCTGGCAATCTTGCAAATGTGAATAGTCAATGCTATCTTTGCAAATAGTTAGTGTTTTGATTGATCAGGGGTTTTAAGGGCTGCTATGATATGAGATGAAGCTATACTTACTAATTTACTATGCTGGATTTGTTTCCCTTTTTCTATTCTAGTGGTAATGAACCTTTTCTGCTGGATAAACATTTGAATTTGAGATTTGAATGACTTCAGTAATCAGTACAGCAGTACCTAGTTCTAGTTGAGGATAATCTAGATATTGGTTTTACTTTTTTAATGAAAGGCCAACTGCAACTTAGCTTTCTTTTATCTTGTTCAGCTTTTGAAGGTGTTTTATCCACATTAACAAATGTTAAAGGAGAACAAGAAACAATGTTCTCAATTGCTTTTATAGTTCAGCTATTTCATGTCCAACAGGGAAAACACAATTTAGTGAATATCTATGTTAGGCCGATAAACCGCGTGTTAACCGTCCGATAAGAGCTAAACCGATACCAATTCGCCCGATATCTTATCGGGTGGCTAACGGATTAATACATTTAAAAACCGATAACCGTTAAGCCAAACCGTTAATAGTAAATAACCGCCCAATCTGCCCGATAGGCAGCCCTAGGTCAAACTCAATGCACATTGCAGTGCCATCCTACAAAATAAAATTCCTCAAAAATGTGGGGATCATGGCAACTTCACTCTACCCTGCTCGTTAGGGAGTGAAAATTTTGACAAAGCTTTGTGCGACTCTGGTGCATCTATTAACTTGATGACATTGTCAGTCTTCAAGAAATTGGAAGGAGAACTAACAGTGATAGAAATTTGTGCCAGTATCTTTGCAACAGGCTGATCAGACCACTATTATACCAGAGGGCATAATTGAGGATATTCCGGTGAGGGTGGACAAATTTGTTTTCCTCGTCGGCTTCACCGTAGTTAACATGAAAGTGAATAAGGAGGTACCTCTAATATTGGGAAGACCATTCCTTTGCAACGGCCGGGCTATTTTGGATATATATGAGGGTCAACTCATGCTACGAGTGGGAAACAAAAAAGTGGTGTTTTAAATGAAGAGAATGACGAAATACCCACGTGATGAGCATCTACCAAAGCATGTTTCAAATTGGATGTGGTTGGAGAGTTAGCTGAACAACACAATCTAGACAAGCTAGTAGGTGATTCATTAAAATGATGCATTACTCAATCGAGTACTTCAGAGGATAAAGAACCTGAAATCAAGAAAGAAGCTGAGGCATTGGAAGATGAAAACCAAGTGGTATATGAAGAGGAATTTGAGATAGAAAGGATCAAACCAAAGATGGAATTGAAAGTACTCCCAGCACATTTAAAATATGCTTTTTTGGAGACTAACAATTTTTCTGTGATTGTTTGGGCTGATTTGACAGGTAAATAGGAATACATGCTTGTGGAATTATTGCGGAAGCATAAAAAAGCAATCGGTTGGAGCATAGCCGATCTTCAGGCAATTAGCCCTGCAATTCACATGTACAAGATCTTGTTGGAAGAAGGGAGCAAACTGGTTGCACATCCCCATCGCATATTGAATAAAAACCTAGAGGAAGTGGTAAAGAAAAAGATGCTCAACTGCTGGATGCGGGTATAATATTTTCCATCTACGACACCCAATTGTGCCAAAAAAATGAGAATGAAAATGGTAAAGAACGAGGACAACGAGCTGATTCCTACAGAACTATCATTGGTTGGAGGATGTGTATAGACTACCGAAGGCTGAATGATGCAACGAGGAATGATCACTTTCCTCTGCCCTTCATTGATCAGATGCTCGAGCAGG